TAATGCTGCTGCTAATGTTGCTGGCATGGCTATTGCTGCAAGCATTGCTAATTCTGCTAACATTGCTAACATTGCTAACATGGCTATTGCTACAAGCATTGCTAATGCTGCTAACATTGCTAATGCCACTAACATTGCTAATGCTGCTGCTAACGTTGCTGACATGGCTATTGCTGCAAGCATTGCTAATTCTGCTAACATTGCTAACACTGCTAACATTGCTAACATGGCTATTGCTACAAGCATTGCTAATGCTGCTAACATAACTAATGCCACTAACATTGCTAATGCTGCTGCTAATGTTGCTGACATGGCTATTGCTGCAAGCATTGCTAATTCTGCTAACATTGCTAACACTGCTAACATTGCTAACATAGCTATTGCTACAAGCATTGCTAATGCTGCTAACATTACTAATGCCACTAACATTGCTAATGCTGCTGCTAATGTTGCTGACATGGCTATTGCTGCAAGCATTGCTAATTCTGCTAACATCGCTAACACTGCTAACATTGCTAACATGGCTATTTGTACAAGCATTGCTAATGCTGCTAACATTGCTAATGCTGCTGTCACTGCCCAGTCTATTCCGGAAGCACGATCCGTACTGTTTGTTTTTAGCATGTAGCATTTTGCTAAACTGATGACAGAATTGATTCGATTTCAGTCTTTTATCACCTGCAATATTTCACAGCAAAGGTAATGTTCGCAAAGGATGTGAATTTTTATTCCAGGATAAAAAAAAACAAACAAAGATGAGATAAATTCATCTTTGTTTAGTAAACACGTGATTGTTTAGAGCTGTTCAACTAAATTGCTCTGGAGGCCACAGTCACTGCAGGTCAACAGGTCAGGGGCCGAAAATCAAAAAATAAAAGTCAGTATGTAAATAAACCAAGTATTACAAAGAACTGTTACCTTTTAAATGGTTTATTTTCCTGTATTTAATCATTAATACATCATACAGAAAACTCTATGTAATAAAAGTAGTTATAATTAAACAATGTCAAAAACATTATAACACATTATTATGCCTCCTATTTAACACAAATATTATTTTGACATCTCTGACTTGCCAAATGTTTAAACCAATAGTATTTTCACTTTCATAGTTTATCTTCAACTGCTTGTAATTTTAACTGTGTTGAGTGTGCATAGAATGTTTTTTTACCAGCTTCTAGCCAAGATTCTGATGTTTCTGTAGATAACAATCATTATATGTTTAACTAAAATAATTTATAGTAATTAAAGTAGAAAACCAGGGATTTGGGCTTAAGAGATGAATGAACCAATTGGCGGGCCGAACTTTGGTCACTCGTGGGCCGGATGTGGCCCGCAGGCTGCCAGTTGAATAGCCCTGGTCTACAAAATAGGTCAGTTTTAGTTAGAAAATCTGTATTTTATTAATCAGAATTTATAAAACATTAAAACAGTTTTCAGAGTATAATTTAGCACACCTTTATTATTAAGTATGGAAATAGTTATTTTCTGTATATTTTTTTTCTAAATCGAGGGCATTAACCGGTAATCCAGAAGTCTATCATTTAGCGCATGTGCAAATGAGCTAACAGCAGATGGTGCAGTGACAGCTGCTAATGCCGCTAATGCCTCTCTACAAGACATCTCAAAATTGTAGCTGTTGTTCAAGTTTCACTTCAAACTGCCGGACCAAAAGTACAATCCATATTGTTTTCAATAAACACGCTTGAATTTAACATTTAAATGACAGCAGAGTTAGTGGTGTTAGCAACATTAGCAGCATTAGCAGCGTTAGCAATTGTTTTTGTCTCATGATGACGTCGTCTGAACAAGAGCTGCACGTCAATAACAAAGGCTGCGTTCCATTTCGAAATAGCCTTCTTAAATTCAAGCTAGAGATGTGATGTTCGAGATTGATCTAAATTTTTAGTTGTTAATTTTAATGGCTGTTTAACGAACCATAGGAACAGAGTCACAGGGCAGTGAAGAGCCATTCATAGTTTAATTCTTTTAAATCCTTATAATGTCTTTATCTTTCCTTATTAACCATGGAGAAAATTGCTGTCGCCTCGTTTTTTCACTGAAAACAGTCAGAGCGGTGGAGTTCAGCAGCTCAAGGGGAAAGGGGGAGTTCTGCTTGACAAAGACGTGACTCCTCCCTCGTTACGTCATC